AAAAAAAAAAAAAAAAAAAAAAAAAAAAAAAAAAAAAAAAAAATAGTGCCGTGCGTTCCGCGAGCCTATTATCATGCTGGGGGGAAGAGACAGCAGCCGCGCCACAATCAAATGTCAACTTTCACCGCCGCCATGTTTCTCATTAATCTGGCGTGACGGTTCCATCAGATCGTCTTTGACGTGTTCTGTGTGGGCGACATAATCGATCGGCTGAATCGATCTGCTGTTGGCTTCTGCTGGGTTATAGTATAACGACCTACGAGCAGTTAAGCGGTATGCCCGATGGGTCATTCAGCACAGCCATTGGCGATTTGGGTATAATAGCAATTCAGGGATCTGCATTGACAGAAGGTAAGGTCGAAATGGATCCAGTCAATGCAGTGGATCTGTGACGATTTACCGAAGTGAAAAAGAAGCATTAGTTGGATGGCTGAGCTGAACTGAGAAAGATGAAAGAAGTTGGTAGTGCGAGTTTGGCGTCTGTGCGTAATTTACACGCGGTATTGGTGTGTATTTGGCGCTTAATGCTGCGGTAAGTATATCAGCAGATCACCACTACCTCTGTACTAAGTACTCCGGAGCATGTACTTGAGTCCACAAGGGCAACTATTGAATACTGCATTTTGCCTCTGCGAGTGCATATTTGCCTCTGTGAGCGATGGATCGGATCATCTTCAGGGGCACTTGAAAAGGAAAAAGAAAAAGTTTTTTTTTTTTAAGCGGCGCAATGCTGGTGATAGGATGTTATGGTGGCGCAAAACCTCAACAGCTGAAAAAAATAATTCGCCTCGCATTGGAGCTGCCACATTCCCCCCCCCCCTCCCTCTCTCTCTCCTCCTCTATCCCAGTCCACTCGGATTCCCTAGTTTATTCCGTGACAGGATGCTAAAAAGAGGTTTGATTCGTTTTCCTTGCTAGTGTTGTGCCATCAACTGCGGGTACAGCTGCAACCTGCATTTTCACCCGCACCCCTCAGTTTTTTTTTCCTCTCCCCACCTGTTTAGAAAGACCTTGTGATTATTTACAAAAGGTGAAGTTGGTGGGTTGGCTTTAGAATAGAATTATGCCAATCGAGGACAAAGAGAGCGAGAACTAGAGGAAGAAGTCTCCGCCGGATATGGCCGTTTTTCCTCTCTTGGATACTGCTGAACGGGACTGGCTCTCCTGAGCCTGGACTCTGCATCTCATACATCATAGGGAATTGTCAACTCTAATAAAGAAGATCCTGGTCTGTTTCAGTATTTGCTGTGGACCGTGCCTTCATCGTTCTGGTCATGGTCTTTATATAGCCGTCTCCCTTCTAACTCAAGAGCAAGCAGACCCCAACTCTTCATCTCTTGTTAGTCTCAATTGGAATTTCAAGAACAGCACTCTCGTTACTTGTGACTTGATTTTCTCATTTAGCAAATTACTATTTGCCGTTCGTTACAGCAATCTTCTGAGCACCTCAGCTTGGAGCACCTTTCGTTCCCAGTCAGAAAAAGACAAGCCACACAGTTCCTGCAATGAACAGCGAGGACAGCGATTCACTCATTTCCCAAGAGTTGCAAATTACATCGACGCAAATTCTCTATCCCGTCCTCTGCTTAATTTGCCTCCTACTCCTCGTCCAGCGCATCAAACATCGCTGCAGGTGGCCCGCACTATCTTGGAGGCAAATGGACTCGCAAAAGTCCCTACCAGAGACATCTGGCGCCAGTGGCGACAAAGAGAAGCCAGCTGGCACGGCTGCAGTGGACCAACAACAGCCTATGTCCAATAGCCCCCCAAAGGATCTATCTTGCGATGTTCGCGCTCCCTTGCCATCCGCCTGTGATATCCTGCAGCCCTTGTCTTGGTGCACGCCACTGCCGTCGAGTGGCCACTTGGCCGCCATGCTAAGCCAGGAACGGCATACTGGGAGTCGACCGTCGTTGACTGAGACACCAGCGGAGCCTTTGTCCCCTGAATCCTCGACGATGCATGCCGCGCCAGGTGGCAGCGTTCATGCAAGCGGATCGCACCAAGGATTCTGTGAAAATGCAGATCAAGAGGCAAAACGGGGCCCTAGGTCAGGATCTGGGCCAGGGGCAGGATCAAGCGAGCCAGTGAAAAATCCTCAGAGTGCGTTTTTGCCTCCCTCTACCGGGATATCAAGTGATAGGCGGTCTCGCCCAGAATCTAACGTGATGTATACGGCGCAGAAGCGGAGTGAAACCGTCCAGCATCTTCAAGATACAGATGAAAATGGTGTGCGGAAGTGGAAGCGAAAGGTGGTTGAGTATAGTTGATTTTTTTTTTCCCCCTTTGTTTTTTTTTTTTTGCTTTGGCTCTCATTCCATTATGAGGGCTTCTCATGCTACGATACGCGACACGTGATCACGACGCATTGAGGAATGCCATGATTTATTAATTCCCACTCGTCTACTAGTAGTATTGGCATAATGGTACTTGTCATATCTCTACCCAAGCTCAGCTATAGTTGTAATCCGTGCTTCATACTCCATTCGTAAAACCGCTTAGTAATCAAATCGTGACATCGGAGATAGCTGTCCGTACTTCGTACGGAGTCAAACCACCACAACCTCAGCATCTCAACATACTAGCCAAACAAAATGACACTCACAGTCTTCCCCCCATCAACACTACCCCCATCCACTAAATCACCGACATCACCTGCTTCTGCAAACACTATCGCCCACGATGCCGATTCGACACTCCTAACGATAACCCCCCTTTTCGCGCGCTTGGAATATAACTTTCTCAGTAGTACTACGGATCTGAGGCCATTGGTACGAGATGAGTTTCAGCGGATGAGGGTGCAGGCTGTATGATTTTCCCGTATCCCCCCCTGTAAGGTTTTGGGTGTTAATGTAATGAGACTAGAACATTGACTACGCGCGCACGGCTCTGAATACACTCGAAAAGTCGATTACTAGCGTGAAACGTGTTGATCGGCGATCTGAGATCCAGACGGAGGTTGGGAGGAAGAGGCAGACGCTGAGGGCGTTGGAAGGTGTGCTGAGGGATGTTACTGTGCAGGCGGAGGCGCAAGCAAACCGCGACGATGATATCGAGGAAGAGGAGTATGAGGGGGAAGGGGAGTTAGTGGATATAAGTGACGATGAGGGTGATCTAAATGCGCCAGAGAAGACAGCGATGGAGGATGCGCAACCACAACCACCACCACCGGCAGAAGAAGAAGAGAAGGAAAAGACAAGCCGTGACGACTCTGCGACGGCCAATCCGCCCACATCAACTTTCCGAAATCGTGGTTTCCAGCGCCAGCACCCAACAGCGACGTCGACTTCTTATCAGACCCATGACCAACCCCAGCCAACATCACCGCCGCAACCAGACCGTGCACAAGCGCAAACAACAGAACAATCCCTCTCTACCTCCCGTCTCGAACACGAATCCCTCACTGAATCCCTCCTCTCCCTCGCTACGCAACTGAAGTCCTCCTCCACGTCCTTCCACACCTCGCTCGAATCCGAAAAATCCGTGCTGGATCGCGCTGTAGATGGGCTCGATACTACGACAACAAATATGAGTGCGGCTGAGAAGCGAATGGGGACACTGAGGAGGATGACAGAGGGGAAGGGGTGGTGGGGACGGATGATGCTCTATGCGTGGATTCTGGGGTTGTGGCTGATTGCTATTTTGATTGTGTTCTTGGGGCCGAAGTTGCGGTTCTAGAACTCGGGGCGTTTATTTATCCTACTATGTAATACTGGGAATGTGGGATCATATGTACTAGACTACAGATGCATTATTCCAATCTCAAACGCTTGCTTTACTATGACCCAATGACCGACCGGCATGACACATGAGAAGAGACATGAAGCGTACCCTGTCGTTCCCGTGCCCATTGCCCTATAGCCGTCGTCCTCGATAGGGAAAAGAAAGGAACACGAGATAAAGGAAATGATGCGTGACATAATGAGTTATACACAGGATTTGATGACGAGGGCAGGATATCCAGCTTTCAAATCAGACAGACACATAAAGGGAAATACCGGCAGAATGAGGGTTTGAGGTAACCAAATCAAAAAGGGAATCAAGAAAAAAGGAAAAATTTTCACCAAAAAAAGAAAAACACAAGGCGGGCCTCCCCATGGACGAAAATGAAACCGTAAAGCCGGGGCCCAAAGCCCGGAGAATGAAATCCACAGAAAAAAGACCCACGACTCATGCGTAGAAGAAGGAAAGAAGAGACCCCTAGGCTCTGGTCATGGAAATGGATATCGATGATGGATAAAGAGCCGCTGTATGTCATTTGAACCAAGGGGAATCACAAATGAAAAGGAAATATTAGTAAGTGGAGCAAAGGGAATGTCTCAACGCCAGGATCAAATGAGAAAAGACAAGAAATAGAAAAGAGGAAATGGCGACAAGTGGTAAAGAGCATCCAGGCAGATAAGAAAAATGGCACACTTGATATCCGTATTACAAGCCATGTAACGTGCGATCTAAATATCGAGACATCCTCAACTCCATAAGTTCTTCGCGAGGTCATTAAATGAGACCGCAGAGTCTGAGGTTCTCCTGAATGATGATATCTGGAAGCAGTCAGCAATGGAGGTTTCATGGCTAAGACAGGGGTTAAGACGTGAGGCATACCGTTGACCGCAGCCATGACGAAGCGGATTTGTGTGGTATCAGTGGCACATGTGAAGTGAGTGTAGATCTGCTTCTGCTCGGCCTGGTTCAGAGACACGAAGCGGTTGAGGATGTAGTCGCAAGCGGCGGCATAGTCGGCACCGCCCTCGTAGTCGGGGAAGTAGTTCTTCATGGGGCTGACGGGCAGCTTCTCCTTGAAACGGTCGATCTTGTTGAGGAAAAGAATAATGGAAGTCTTGACGAACCACCGCGAGTTGCAAATCGAGTCGAACAGAGTGAGCGCTTCCTGCATACGGTTGACGGTCTCATCTTCGAACAGAAGCTGGTCGTATTCAGAGATGGCGACCAGGAAAAGAATGGTGGTGACGTTTTCGAAGCAATGAATCCACTTCTTACGTTCAGAACGCTGACCACCGACGTCGAACATACGGTAGGTCAAGTCGCCAATAATGAAGGTGGTCTCAGTGATACCGGTAGTCTTGACACGAGAGCGAAGGACATCCTGGTCGGTGGGAAGGTAGTCGGGCTGAGCAATACGCTCAACAGCGTCGAAGTAGCTAGGAGAGTTAGCCTGAAAAAAAAGACTACCAGTGTGAACATTGAGAACTTACTATTTAGCAGAATCGTTCAGCTGGTATTCGCGCGAACGCTTGAAACACTCCTGAACACCCGAGTCGCGCCACAAAGCACCGATGGCATTGCCAACCTCCGGAGGAAGGCTATCACCTTCAATCTGAGCGGGTTGCATGAAGACAGTCTGTACGTGGTACTCATGGCGGGCGTCCTCGAGGGGCAATTCGAGCGACTCCATGGCTTCCAGAATAACACGCATGGACTGGACAGTGTTGCTGAAGATGATTTCCTTGAACGATTCCCGCTCATCGCGCGAGTAGCCACCCTCGTGGATGAGCTTCATCTGCTTCAGAATAGTCGACTTGCCCGATTCACCAGCACCTGCGATGGTCAGAACCTCACTTTCACCACAAACCAGGAAAGGGTGTGCCTACCCAGCAAGAGCATCTTGATTTCGTTTCTCTGCATCATCTTGTCGCGCTTAAGCTGGTTCTCAATCTCCTCGTTGCGGGCCTTGCCCTCCTTGTCCTCGGTACTCATTCCGCAACCCATTTTGGAGGTCGTGTCGTAGTGATGGTTTTATGTAAACGAAGGGTAGTAAAATCGATAAAAGGGTCGTAAAGGAAAGGTGAAGAAGCGTCTTAGAGACTAAGGCAAACAGGCAAACGTCAACACTCTGCTTAATTCTCCGCGGCGACATGCCTGTCGTACAAGCGCGACCAAGCAGATTGACTGTGTCGGAAGCAAGGGCGATTGGCAGCTCCGACGGGCCAACCGGATAATAGAATTTAGGGGAGAACAAGCATTCTGTAAAGCTCCTTCTTCATTAGGGACTTACATTTTCTCACTCAGAAGACGCGATTGTCGAAAAGAGAGGATAGTGGTAGATGGAAAGTATTCAGGGAGTTTGAAAGAACGGAGAGGAGAAAAAAGAGATATTATTATTAAGGCGTCGCAACCTCGGACGGGAAGTGGATTTAAGAGACAAAGAAGGCGACAAAAGGAATAAAGAACGGGATCTTTTTGAGGAATGGAAGCAAATCCTCAATCCAGCAGTTCGAGAACTGATGAAAAGAAAGAAAAAAGAAAAAAGAGGAACTGGAAAGGATGAAGAGAAGAAGAAGAAAAGAAGGAAGACAAGGCAGAGACACAGACAAGAGAGAAAGCCCGAAGAGTGAACAATTGAGAGTAAGGGGCGAGAGGAGGGGCTGCGCTTTGTGATTGGCTCGTTGCAGAAACGCTTAGCGTGACTCCAGTGGAGGGTTTTCATTACGCGGTTTTACAGAGGCCGGTGTTACGGGTTTGATTGGTGGACATGGCTAAGGGGCTCCCAGAAGATCCGCTCGGTATATTCATAGACCAATGATACACAGTATCCCCTATTTAGTGGGCCAAGTTAATACAGACTAATACCATACTTACAGCACCTACCTACTACGGAGACTACTTCTATCACTCTATGCAGAGTACAAGTATAGAGACTTACGAGTGTGAAGATAGCCGAGATGAAATCAGAAATCAGAAGATTCAGCAACACGAACCAAAAAAAAAAAAAAAAAAAAAAAAAAAAAACGGTTAATCTGGCCGAGAACATGATAGCTCACTCGCTCTTACTACTTGTACTTCATTTTTCAGGAGTAGTCAAGTTGCTGGTGATATTTCCGCAGATCTGCTTAACTCCGTGGTTATCTTTGCTGCAGTTTGAAAAAGGCAGAGTTGGCCCCCCTGTTATCCACTACCACTTACTCAGTTCCGAGTGACTCGTTTCGGATTGACTGAATCCAAGAATAAAGAGTGAATTAATCAAGTCTCTATACTGTTGTTCTATGTGTACGTCAGGAACGAGGTGCAAGTGATGTGTCCAGCCAGACATGTGGTTCTGACTCGTCTCCTCATACTTGCATGGTACCTTATCCACCTCCCCTTAACTGTCCGTCGATCTCTCCGCAACAATAATCTTGTCTTGCCCAGTATTTGGGGCTCATTTTACGGAATACGGAGTCAGAACAAGGCTTATGAAGCATGCAAGACCAACCCTGATATGCGCATATTTCAATTGTCTTGAATTCACTGTTTGTTCCTGGGTACCTTACTGAACCTCGGAGTGCAGATACCCCTGATGCACATCTCCACCACCAACCTTCTAGTCGCCTTCGGTGCAGATGCTGACATAAAGTCTTCTCCCGCGACTATTGTTCCAGAGTCTGAGGTCACCACATGGCATGATCTTTACGGAGTACCGAGCATTCCATGCTCGGTAACTCTATTAATATTAAAGTGGATGTGATTTCTGGTGTTCGCGGATATTGGCCCACAGTACGGATAGAGTCGATATGAATTCCGGAGTACGGACGGAGTACGGGCGGAGTACATCCTCCAGTATCCAGGGGAAGGCAGCGCTTACACCCGTATCATGCTCAACAACCTCAGGCAGATGCTAACAATCAATGATTCCGACCGACTGGTAGGATCATTCTGTCTTGTTCTTCCCGCCGAGGACGATCGGCAATGAGTCGATCGCTAAGTTATATTTGACCATGGTGGGCACTTCGCGAGCTCAAATAGATCATTTGCTCCAGTACACCATTGGTTTCGAAGTTATTGCTTATCAACACCAAGCAAATAAAGCAATGCACAGAGATTAGCTGGTCATTTACATGGACATGGTTTTCACGACTTTCGAATTCGTCACGCTACGATGGATCTATCCCTACCAGTGACAAGATCGAATGGTTGTGAGGCACTGGACCCCAGACTCCGCGATAGTATACCAAGTACGAAGTACAGTCAACGTCGCATTCGCGAAAACTCACGGAACTATTTAAGCAATGGTACCAATCAACATACATAGTGTGCTCTCTCTGCTGACCATGGCACTGAGTAATATTCCGTAGATGGGGACGAATTCCTCGTCCCATGGTTTCGGAGACAATAGCTGAAGTTTGGATTTTGAGTTCGCAGCAGGAACAAAAAGGTGTCTGCATTGTATCGGGGTTTAATAGGTTGGAGCATCTGTACAGTGCAGATATGCAGTACGCACAGTACTACAGTTCAGTAGAGCTCTATGGAGAAGATTGGATAACATCAATTCCCGAATCAAGGGACTTCACTCCGGCATCGTACATGGTGGCCACATACTCCGAAGATACCCTGGATACTTGTACAGTACAGACAAAGGAATCCAGATGGGTCCTCAATAATTGTAGCCATGGAAGCGGTAAAGAAAATGTACTAAAATGGCATGCTCCATGTAATCCACGGAACCGAGGGTTGACCCAAAGAAAAAAAAAAGAGATCGGGACGATCGACCGCCGATGCTCCGATTCCCCTTAGGCCCCAGACCAGATCTGGCCGAATTCATTTCTCTTCATTTTATTGCAAGCCTTGTTGACTCAATTGACCCGAAATTGGGTCATCATACAATTAACAAAGTTATTTAGAACATAATCGCTTATCTACAAGTATATAACTACTATGTATCACGAAATGTCCCACATGGGCCCTCGGGGTATGTACATGTCTATCGTCCTGCCAGCGCGTCTCGTCTCGTCTTGTCGCTAACACTGCCCAACGCCATACAGCCTTCAACCATGACCAAAGTAACGACTCAGAAGCCGAATATGACCGTCTCCGCGACTTAGCCAGACAAGAAGCCTCCAAGCGCGGTTCGTGCTTTCAACGGGTGCGCCTCCTTTTTCATAACATCTAGTCGCGATCAATCTGTTGATTCATTTCAAAATAGTCCCAAGATGCCTACACCAGCGGCGACGGCGCCGCGGCCAAGGAGCTCTCAGAACAAGGTAAGGCGCATGGGCGTAAGATGGAGGAATACAACAAACAAGCGTCCGAGTTTATTTTCCGTGAAAACAATGCGAATGGTCGTGTCGCGGCGGATACTATCGATCTGCACGGGCAGTTTGTTGAGGAGGCGGAGGATATCCTAGAAGAGAGGATTAAGTACGCCAAGTCGCATGGGCAGAACCATCTTCATGTGTATGTTGCTTCCTTTCGATCAGCTTCTTGCTGCGACAAAGTAGCTAATGCAAATCAATGAAACAGCATCGTCGGCAAAGGAAACCACTCCGCGAACCACGTCCAAAAAATCAAGCCCCGTGTCGAAAAGGTCTGTCGCGAGATGGGCCTGCAGTACGCCACCGAGGAAAACGCCGGTCGTATCTACGTTAACCTCACCGGTGGTGCCGCCGATCTGGGCTCCGTTCCTTCGCCTTACGACCACCAGCACCAGCAACAGTCCTCGCACCACCAATACCCCAGCCAGCAGTATCATCAGCAACCGCAGCAGCAGCATGGCGGACAGAACCAGCAGCAGGACGGGGTCGAGCAGGTGGTCAATGCTGTCTTGCCGCGTGTATTGCGCAAATTGGAGAAGGCTTGCTGTGTGGTTATGTAAAGAGAGGCAACGTGTCGTCGTTTCGCTACGGTTTCGCTATGTTATTATGCTATATTGGTATCTATACTTGATACGATTGACGCTTTTTGATATGATGAGATTTTCATCTCATTGGATTGGTATACCCCGGGCTTTTTGGTTATCTGCTCAGTTTCAGTATCTATATACCTGCGGGAATGGTTTCTGTTTACTAGGTTTCAGACACTTTATATATATAAAGAGATATTATTTCCCATGTTCTCATTTCGCTTTTAGAATACAAATCCAGGCTTACATCAAGGGTATATGTAACGGTAACCAATGGCAAAGCATAATCCAAACACGTTCGAAAACAAAAAAGGAATCATCGAGCCTCATTTAACGTGGTCTCCGTGATCTTATCCAGAATAGCTCGCACCATTGCCCCATCGCCCTGTGTATCACCACTGGAGTCGATCTCATCGATCAAGGTTAACGCCCGACCACGCAGATCCTGAACCACCTGTCGCGTATATGCAAAACTCCCTGTACTCTCCATATAACTTGTCGCGTACAACTTCACCTCCTCATCCTTAGTCTTCTGCTTCAGGATACTGATGAGCTGGTGGTTCCCCGGGTCTGACTGTATACTATGGATAATAGGAAATGAAAACTTCCCCTCTGTCAAATCCTCACAAAGGCCCTTGTTCTTGGTATATGTTGTATTTGACAGATTCAGATAGTCATCACAAATCTGAAATATCAACCCCATCACATTCACCAAGCTCACACAATCCTTCCCCGTGCTGCTCTGAGCTTGCATCAGTTTCACTGCGAGTCTGAAGAGACCGCCAGTTTTGTTCCCAACCATTTCTAGGTATTCATTTTCGCTGGGGCAGGTGAGGGTTTCGCGCCAGAAAAGGTCCATTCCTTGGCCGCGGTGCAGGTTTAGGAGTTCTTGGGTGTAGATGTCAATAGAAGTGGGACTGTTAAGCTTCTGGGCTTCTTGGAGGGCAAGGAAGTAGACGTAGTTGGCGGAGTTGATGGTTTGCGCAGTGCCAAAGATGTTATGCGCTACGGGGATTCCGCGTCGGAGGATGGAGTTGTCTTCAACGTCGTCGATCCTACATGGAAGATCCATTAGTCTCAGTTCTAGGATAGAAAGAAACTTTTCGGGTAGATAAGGTTCAAACAGAGGCAACCTACAGCAAAGAAGCTGTATGAAGCATCGCCACCACCCTGTTGATGATGGTCAGAGTTTCTGGAGGGACCTTCAGCCATGCGTTGAAGGCATGGATGAGTTGCCGCCTAATATCTTTTCCTGGATGCTGCTGCATATATTCGTATGGCCCCATCAGAATCCGCTCATTTTTCTCTGACCACTGTCCGTCTTTATGTTTGGCGCCATCTAAGCTTGACCGATTCCGCTTGTGTCTGCCCACGCCGTCCGAGACAGAGGTATTCGTGGTCTGCAAAGGCCCTCCATTCATTTCTGTTGGCCTAGAATCCATATTATAATCTTCAGGTTTCGGTATTATTATGTCTGCTGTGCGATTTGTGGTCGAAGCGCCTTGTTTGCTGGATCGCATGTGCTGGCGGAACTGCCACTGATGACGACAAAATGCAGGGGCGGTCAGCAAATCTGTGCTAGAGCAGTCAACGTCCTAGCGCTATATTTAATATTTTGGTCTCGCTACTTATTAACAAAAAAGAAAGAACGAAAAAGAGACGTTGAGATGCATGGGAAAAAAGAAGATATATTGTGGTTTGGATGGAGGGGGCAGAGATTGGATATCACATGCACCCCGCATATGCGCTGCGCAATGCAATGCCATTATTTCACTCTCGTGACATCCCAAGAAAGCTCCTAGGTACCATGTAATACTCCGTAGCCGTTATTATCTGGCATGAAGTCATTAATTGAGCCGTTTTATGTCGATGAAACCGACCGCTGCAAGGATAGCGTAATTGTATGACTGGATATGGTCCGTGTGAGGACATTCCTCCTTGATAGACCGCAAGGTCAGCCACCAGCTGAAGAAAGACAACAAGCCATTGCCAGTTGGCAAAGAATGGGCCCTGTTCATTGATACGGTCCAATAAGCCTTCTCCATTCATATTCCGATCCATCAAAGACCCTTCACCTGGTCCAAACGGGAATCAATCGACAAACAGGGCGCTGGGTCACCCGGGGCAACGACATTGAACAAGGAAGCTAAGATAAAAGAGGATCCATGATTGACGCTCGTCCCAGGAAACGAATCAAGGCATTGGAGAATTTATCGGAAGTGAGCGCGAAAAGAAGATTATATTAAGTGGGAATCGAAAACTGGGGACGCGGTGAGCATCGACTATCCGAACCAGATCTTATTTATTTTTTGTATAGTTCCCGCTCATCCACTACGATCACTTTTAATATTCCTCTCTACATATTTCTTTTATCGGGTCACATGCTTTATTCTTTGCTTTATTCTACTTCCTTATAGTTTCCTTAGCTTCATTTACTATCCGGTTCCCGTCTAGTGTTACTCTGAAACCTCATGGAGACGTTGTTGGCCCATTCGTTCGATTACCTCTCTTCATACGAGCCCAGCAAAGTACGCAAAGGCCTGCGTCAGGTTGAGGGTCTTCTCGCACAGATATGTCTCTCCAAAGCGAAACAGTCGTCAGTCGTGCGGAAAAGGTCGATGATGGGAATGGGTTCGCCCCAGCCGGCTGCTAGACCGCTATCAGAGATCAAAGACGACCCTGCGTTTCGGGAGTTTTTCAAATTACAAGAAGGGTTTCAGTGGAATGGTAAGCCTTATCGCACGGCCTTATTTATCTCAGATAGATTGAAACTGACGAACCTAGTGGCGATGCGACTGGTCACTTGTTTAGAACATTTGTTAGGCCGGGGGAGCAATGGCACCAACGACCTGCTCATCCTTGCAACTCTCGACCTCATCCAAGGTGCTCTTCTTCTACATCCGCCGTCGCGAACTCTTTTCGCCCGTGAAATCTACATGAACCTCCTCCTTGACCTCCTCGATCCGATTAATTGCCCCGCAATCCAATCTACAACCCTCCTCACCCTCGTGACGGCCTTGCTGGACAACCCGGCCAACACACGCACCTTTGAACAGCTCGACGGTCTGCTCACAGTGACATCCCTGTTCAAGCAACGCGCAACATCACGAGAAGTTAAGCTGAAACTTGTCGAGTTCCTCTACTTCTACCTGATGCCCGAGACCCCCACCAATCTCCCCAGCCCGGGGATGCAGCGCAGAGGTCCACATTTGCGGAGCCCCAAAGGAAGTCGTCACTCAGCAAACGGGAACCGCAGCACGCGCACGACAGACGAGAAACAAGCGCTGCTGGGGAGATATCTCAATAACGTGGCGGACTTGGTTGAAGATCTCAAGGAAACGGCACCTTTTGGAGCCACTGTTTACTGAGGTGGATTACGGGATACGATATGCTACGCACGATGTTGACGGTCTCGTTTATGAGCTTTGCATTTGAGCGAGGGAGTGGGTGTATTTTGCTTACGTTGTTTGGATTATGCCTGTTAGGTCTGGCTACACATTACTTTTTTCTTCCATTTTCCTCTTGCTTTCTTTTGGATTTTCCTATTCCCATTCTATTTGTCCCCGTCAGGCACGGAAGTTTGCGTTTTATTCGATCCTTTGGCCCTTACTCGTCTGATCATTATGCTATGGAATTCTATTTGAGACGGTTTCGTTGGTTATGAATTTTATCTGCTTGCAATTGAGATCACATCACCTAACGTGGACGATATCGTGTCGTCTTACATCAAACCTCCGCGTCATAGGGCTAGGGCGTATCATGGTAACGGAAAACAGCACGAGAGCCAAGCGAGGGCAATTTAGTACTTTGATGTTCATGGCACATGAAATACGCAAGACTCAAGTTCCCTAAATCTCAAGTTTTTCTTCTATTCCTCCTTTTATTCTACCTTGAAAAAGATGTGTATAAGAGTAGAAGTTAATTCCGCATGACATAGTATCACATAACGCTGGTAATATACATGAGCTTTGAGAAAGAGAAAAGGCGCCTAAAAGTATTTTAATAATCGCTCCCGATGCTGCACCAAATTCTTATACTTCTTCAACAACTGTCCCAGCCGATTCTGCTTCCATCCCATTCCCTCATCCATGATCAGATGCGTGTATGCGAAGACACTAGCATCAAACAGCCCGGGCTTTGGGCGGTCGAAGAAGTTTTGCTGGTTCCCTAATAATGTCGACAGAGCCTCGAATGCATTATCTGCTTCTGCTTCCAAATCACTAACATCAATGTATTTGTACGACTTGAGGAGCTCGTCGCGCGCGGCTTGTCGGAGCTGGTAGCTTAGAGCGGACTGGACCACCAAGCTGGTAGTTACTGGGTCAACGTATAGCGTCCGTGCAACTGCGTCAAAATTTTCCGGGTCTAGATACAAGGCGTATAACTAGATGACCATATGTGAGTTCTAGGGACGTTCGAGGACATAGTGAAATGAACATACCCAAGCATTCCGTATCCGGTGATCCAACAGAGATGCGTAAACGTCAAATCGGACATTAAGCTGCTGCTCCTCTTCACAGTGAACCTGTTCAATGGCCCATTTTTGCACTTTGCCGGCTGGAATTGGGACGTGTGTGTTCAATGGAAGGGCGGGAAGGACGAAAGGGAGGGCTCCCGTCGGAGATGCGTGGTTGTTTGAAGGTATGACCTCAAAGTCAATGCCAACGAATTTCAGATACGCCTGTAACACCAATAAAGTTGTTTATTAGTTTTTTACGGCCATGTCTGTAGATAAATAATGGCACCGTACTAACCTGCCACTTGAGACATTGCGGGTTGAACGACGGTCTCCCACGCCGGGCATTCGTCGTGTCTGTGAATATAAACAACCGATTTCCCTGTGTGTTTGTCCCTGTCCGTTCAGGGAGACCATTCGGAGGATATGTGGTCAGAGGAAACCGGTCGAAGATGCGTTTTATCGGGGCAGGGACGGAGAAGAATTCGCGGGTGCGCGCAACGACATTGTCCGACATTGCGAGGGTTTCCGTAGCCATGTAGAGGGCGGTGTATGAAGTTTCAATCTGTCTTGACGAGACTCGAACATCAACAGATCCCTTTTGAGTCTAGTGAAAATAAAGCTCACCGCGCAATATCATAGTCGTTAGAAGTTAATTGATTACAGCCCGGTTCCGCGGCGACTATAACTCACCGCCTTCAGGAACCGGGCAATTGCGAGATCCCGGCAGAAAAACCGCGACCCCGCGATTATTATCGAGTGAATCAGCATACTACATAGTTACCACTGCAGGGATTATTTATCCAATTTCCCTCTCTGGACGTTCAAGCATTGCTAGCGGGGTTGTCGGGTCTTCCCGTTGCCATCTTTCATTGTGGTTCACGCCATTTTCTTATTTATCTTTATCCGACCTTTATTAGTATTTCCACCGCATGATCCGCCCGATATCTCTTGACCGACCTTGTCGCACCCCAGTAACACATCTCCCGGGGTTGTTTGGACTGAAGCATAGTCTGTTTGCGTTTTTTTGGCTTATATTCAATGAAAACCGAGGGGCTTTAAATTAAGGAACCGGGTTCTATGGTCGCAGATGTCATCTTAAGCCCTGTAAAGAACCGATCGCTCATTCATTATGCCGCTCGACGAAGAGGGCGCAAAGTGGTCCTGGTACGAGTCCTCGCCTAAATTTAGCATTTACATATACTAATAAATCTATGGTTTCCAGTGAACCATGTATCCGGGGCCATCGATCGTCAAAATGCCAGCATTTCGATCGACTGATGATGAAAGTCCCGAAGGCTGGACGCCCGTTGGCCAAATGCCCCCATCCCAAAGGAACATGCAGTTGTAAGAAGACATATGCAGTGATGGTTCGCATTCCAAAAGGTCTGCTTCTTAGCCGCCATCTATGTCATGTTCGCGTGTGCTTACTGTTGTCCTAGGATCAACCTGCATGTGTCGACCGTTGTACGAGGTGCCTATTAAAGATGAAACCGATCAAGCGTCTACCCGTTCGACGACAACGCCAATCACGATCGCCCCGGCTATTACTCCAAGCCCGGCTGCGCCAACTCCTCCGCCCGCTGTAGGAAAGATCCAGAAAGCTGGAAGAAGGCAGAGCAACCTTCAGGCGGCACCTGAAAACATTGCTAGAGCGTTGGAATCCATTGCCAAAGCGGAAAACCAGCGTTCTGATAACGGTGCACCCAGTGATTTGCCTTTGTATACGCCGCAGAACCAAAGCGTTCCGGTCTCTTACGGTCCCTTGGGCCAACAACAGCCAAATGTGACCCAGGACCAAGCCTATGACATTAGCAGAGTCACAGCCTCTGAGAGTAAAAGTTGCTGCTCAGGCAAAGCGGCCACTATACCAACTCAACCGCCACCTGAGAAGCTATCTCAACAAGGTTCTTGTTGTGGAAAGCAAGAACCGAAAGTAGAACAACACGGCACATTCAAACCTGGACCAGAAGAAAACGGCACCGACCATAATGCAACATCAAACGGTTCAACAGCAAATGACTTACCTTACCCTCCCTTCCCTGCACCAACATGGCAGGATTTCCATGCCCCTGGCCACAATATTTTGGTTCAACCCTTTCCGGTGCATCAGCCACAAACTCAAGCACCCGCTTATTTTCCACCTCCATACGCGACAGCGTCGGGCTATCCGTACCAAAACATGCCACACAACGTTGGATTCACACCAATGGTCATGCCGGCTTTTTCGTCGACACAACCTCAGAGCATTCCGCATACATCGCCCACTGCTGATTGCTCGGAGCACATATGTCATTGCGGTGATGGTTGCCAGTGCCTGGGGTGCGCCTCTCATCCATTCAACAATACGACAAGACAACATGTTCAAGAAATGGGTCTTATAGTAGGCATCAATGGTGAAGAACAAAACCGACACACTCCATATTCCACGAATGCCGCCCCAACGCCGTTAGACTATTCCGTTACCGCCATGAACCATTACTCAGGACAGACTCATTCCCACCAGATGGGCGGGGGCTACTCGCCTCACCTTGGCTATGCACCAGATCATTTCATGGAACCCTCCCAGTACTATACACTGGAGTACCCTGTGGGATTGCCAAGTTCCTGCTCCGATGTGACTGGTAGTTGCCAATGCGGGAATGACTGCAGCTGCGTTGGCTGTCTTACGCACAGCGGTCACAATGGTTTTACCTTCCAGCCGGTTCCAACAGAAAGTGTTGGCTTCCACGCCAGCCCACCGGCTCAGCAGTCGAGCCCCAAATTGTCGAGAGATCCCTCTGCTCCTTCGCCTAGTCTGTAGCCAGTCTTTGTTTGGTTTCACGGCTTGGTGGGAATACTCTTACTTTCAACAGATTTCCAATTCGTATTAATGATCATCATGATACCCCTGCGATAGATACCTGAAGCCAAGGTTATTGGGCAAGTTTTTCTTTTCTTTTGTTTTTTTTTTTTTTTTTTTTTTTTTTTTTTTTTATCTCGTGTGTCTGGTGCTTGGGTTCGACTTGAAAACGGGAACATCTATGGCGTTATTCTCCTCTCTTCTGTTTGAGTCTGCTTTTTATCCTTATATATTTGCATTACTTTGCAATTTTCATAGTTCTCATCAAGTCTTATGGTCAGGATTCTGGGCTCCTTGGAAGCTCCTAGAACTGACCTTGAATATATATATCGAATAATAGAATATTTTCCGTCATTGAGTAGGATTAACCTCAAAAATATTGGCTCACATAAGTATTTTATCGAAAATACTGGATCTACAATCGGATAATACTTATGATACGGAGTAGAGAGCACAGAGATAGGAAGAAAAAGAGTAAATCATCACCATGCTAAAGTCAGGCTCATACAGAATATAAAGAAGCAAGGACACCTCATTTTGCCAATGGGCCTCCATCTAACTTGTTCGCAGCTGTACAGGTATCGTACATAATAATTTTATCCATCTACCGACGCAGCGCATCTCTCAGAGGTGAGTCACCCCGGCGGAAGGAAGCTACATACTTGTTAGTCAAATGCCATAAACACCCCGGGGATTGTTGACATACAGTCTGCCTCTTCCCACGCACGTCCAGCTCCGAAACCAAGACCGACCCACGCGGGCCACGCTCTGCGCTTGAACAGGAGAACCGAGAAGACAACACCAAACGAGAGACCGAGCGAGGAACGGATAAGCATCGAGGATATGGCGCGATCCCACTAGACATAGGAAAAGAGGGCCGTATTAGCTGACTGTTTAACGGAGGGGCACGTGAGTGTAGTGTTCAATTGGCGTTGCAGATTTCTCTTCTGCCCGTCCAATGCCTATCAAAAACATGTCTCGGGTATGCCACTGATATGAAAGATAAATCTAGCACAATATGATGCTGTACCTTTTCATTCAGCAGGGCCTCGCTGACGGGCTTGGTTGATCTCTGGACCGGCACAACCGGCTTGGGTTCGTTGGAGTCGGCCATTGCGATAGTAATTCTAGTCGAGAGATGTCTCTGTTAATCCTTTTATCGAGTCAATCGAGTGTAAGTCCACTTACTATCTGCAACAAGCAAGAAAATACGGCAGGTTTTGGTGATGGCGGAGTAGGAATAGGTCGGGTGCGATGTCCGTCTCGGGCAGAGCTTCTGCCGGGCGAAGGCGGTCGGAAAAACTAGGCGTTTGAGGAGGCGTGCCGGCGTTTCTGTCGTCAGTCGGGCTTCTTTTTTTTTTTTTTTTTTCTTTTCTGTCTTCCAGTTCTTTCTGTTTTATATGTGCTGCACTCAGACAGTATAGAACAAGACTTTTTGGTTGCAGATGTGCCAGACGATTGAAATACCTGGGAGCATTCTTTAGACCAAGTCGTCTGGTTTTTCTTTCGTGATGCCGTCGGTTGCGGAGGTGAGTTTTTGAGTTTCCTATCAGAGATCTGGGGCAAGAGGAATGCGGCTAATGGCTGTGCTTATTTGCAGCGTCCACGCTCGTCGCAAGAGGCCCTGCTGCGACTAGAAAAGGGCACCGCCTCGCCGACTAGCCAACTCAACGAGGCAACCCAAATCATCGGTCTTGATCTGGCTTTATGCGCCAGTCATCCGGAAATCAACAGAGCCGCGAAAATCCGACACAATGCGGCCCCGAAGGAAGAGTGGGTTCTCCGGTGGCTTTTGAAGAAGCTGAGGACAGGGAAGAATTACCGTGTTGAGTCGGCTTCGTTCTTACTTCTACGGCAACTCGTGGATCTTATACCCCCGAAAACCTTGGCAACGACATTGAAGGACCAGAAGTTCCTTGTGGTTCTGAACGATACGATTTCCGACCTGGAAGAAGATATTTTTGCTAGTGTTGAAAATGGTACGGTAGAGTTCTTGTGCTCGGAGTCGGAGTCCAGCCAGACGGTGGAGGATATGCCGGAGCAACGGTCGAAGCGTGATAAGAAGGGAACAAAGAGGAAGAGGGCCGGTCAAAATGGTGATGGGAACCAAGGGGATGCGATGGATATCGACGAATCGCCGCAGTCTCCAGCCTCATGTTTTTTGACTTTCATCCGCTTGCTGGACTGCCTTTACAGCATCGTGACGCTAGCAAATCGCACGCTTGTCCTTGATGAAGTAGCTAGTTCTCACCTGAAGCATGCGCTTAGAGGTGAACCGGAGTCGGTTGCTACGTTGTTGTCCAAATCGTTCAGATTGGCTGCTCTCGCTACTACCCAGTTTTCGCACGGACGAAAGACGACTGATCTCCAGCACTTGCTCTACGTTCTTCCGGCAATTTTGGAACTGTGGGAATTAAGGTCATCCCGCCGAGATTATTCAGAGAACAATTCCAGCAATGATTGTTTTGCGAAGCACTGTTTTCAACATGCGATGCGACTTCAGCATTGCGTGCGTTCCGCTCAACTCGACACTGATGAGAGAGCGCAGGTGCTGCAAGGAGTTGAGCGCATCATTGCACGTCATGTTGTGCTTCCTGCACGTGAAGGCTTCTTCAAGAGAGGAGGTTCAGGGATAAATTATTCTTCAGCTGATCCGGACTGGACTCCCGTCAAGCCAATTACCGATGCATTGAAGCCGATTCTCTGTGACACTGTCTCCGCCACAGAGAAGACTACAGAGAGAGCAGATGTTATGAAAAAGAAAGGTCTTTGGAAGACAGCCGAACTCCTACCCAACTTTTTCGAAATTGCGTCGCGTTCTGTTCCTCGGGACACCTTCCGGCTCCAGACACACGAAGCTCCTTGGTTGGAGACTTTGTTCGTTGCCGTGGCCGAACTTGAGTTCTCCATTACCAAAGAGGATAACCCAGCTACGTACTCTTCTGACTTTGTACTGCTTCTCGAACGACTATTCCGTGTGGTCCTTGATCGGAAAATTCAACTATCTCTGCACACCCTACTCACCCATGCTGCATACACTGGTCTCCTTAAGAACGAGCTAGCACAAGTTCACTGGAACCTGACAGCGTTGCTCATTGAATTAGGTGTCGACATTTTCCTGCCGAATTCTGGCCTTCCGGATGCTGTAAATCTCTTGAATGCTTTGTTCCAAAAGATTTTGCTTCATTGGAAGAGCAACGAGTCCCACCTGGATCCCCATTACGAACTGATCAAGAGTGGGATTGTGATTCCTTTGCTGCGGGGGTTCACATCTGCGAGAGATTTACCGACATTTATGCAGTTATGGTACGAACAGCTCATTGCTGTGGAGGATAGCCGTTCTCAAAACAGCAAGTTAGGTTCTTTCACAGTATGGGAAGATGATGATTTGTGCAACGTCTACAGTGAAGTGATGCAAAACCCTCTCACTAATGCACACTTCCAAGCGCAATTGCGAGCAGCTTCGGTCGAGATTCAGCACGAAGATGGTCGGGTGTCCGACTCAGCCGGGTCCTATGCGCAGTTCGTGATATTGGAAGCGGGAATGAGAAGGCGAAACTTGAATTTTGAAGACGCCAACGAACATTTGCACTCTATCATCGGAATTGCAACCTCGACCTTATCCTCTAAGCAAACGCTGCATTGGAGATGGCGGCTATGGAGATTTGCTCGGGATTTATTGGAGAACAATCCGCAGTCCACCGATAATTCCTTCGGCCACGCCGTGATGAAATTGACCGATGTTGCTGCAAAGGCCATTCAGCGGCACCGCAAAGACCAAATGAAGAAGCCACGTGCAGCATTGGAGTCTTTTGAAGCCTATCGATTTTCTCTCGTGGCTATCAAGGAGTCTATCGATTCAGTTGGTTTAGACAAATTCAATGCACTCACTCGCGATATTGCAGACTTCTGTGAAGTTATTACCAAAGAGGATGCGTTGGGCTCCATGGCCTCGCCATGGAATGGTCGCGCCGAAACTCTTGATCTCCAGTCCTCGCTTGCTTTGGGGTATTTCCTGACACTCGTGAGAAGCCCGAGTGTTTGGAGCTTGATCAAATACGACATTAGGCGCTCCCTGTTTGAACATATACTGTCGCTGGCTGCTTCGCAGTACCATGCATCTTCAACTGGATTGGAGAGAGCTCCGTTTCATGCGAGATTCCTTCAAGCTTGGGCCAGTGTGGTGTGTCATGAATACCTTCTCAACGCGCCAAGCATTACTAGTGACTTGATTTTTGTGCTTTCGGAACACATAAAGAGCGATGTTTCCAACCGCAAGTTTTACGTTGAGAGTCTGCAGAGGATTCCCGCCCCCTTGGTTACTCGCCGCCAGAGGGCGGTCCTTTTGGACTTGCTACAAGATGTCATTCGCCAGGAGGATAACCCACTGGAGATTACCGTTGGTATGTTGTCGTTGATGGCCAAGTTGGCTGGTATGCCCAAGTCCGGAGCAGCTTTGACCAGTGATTGGGAACCTACGTGGAACGCTGCCAAAGCGGTTACTCTGCAAGGCACCGAAGTTGATCTCCAAATTATGAAAGCATTCCGGCACTTGCACAAGGCGGTTATCGCCAAGTTGCTTGTTCTCTCGGACGAGGACCGAAGCAAGCTGTTCAAGAAGATGTACCGTAAAGTCACATCTAAGGCGTCTAAATTGAAATCCATCAACCGCGACTCCATGGACTGCTTCTTTTTGCGGATTTCGCTGTCGCAGTTGTGGGTTCATCGCCAACAACTGTCCGGAGTACTAGACGAGATGGAGCTTGCAGCCTGCCGCCAGAAGGTGTTCGATCTAGTTGTGGCGGAAGTGAAGTCTGTTAAGGATCAATGCAAAAAGCAGAAATTGGAAGACACAATCACCCTGATCAAGGTTCTGGATGCGCTGGAAGACTTTGAAGACCTGGCCACCGACAATGTCGAGGTGGACAAATTCTTATCGAAGATCGAGAGTTATGTTGAGAAATCGATCGACTCCGAATCCCCCTTGAGAAGACTTATCCGCCGTCGAGTGCTGGTTGGCCGAGGAGGAGTGGACAAGGATATCACCTCACCTATCATGCAGGTCGCTGAGATTCTTCCCTTGCAGCAATTGTACGGCGAACAGCAGCAACTCTTCATCCGTGCTACATTGGAACGGTTCCGATCCATGTCCGTGGATAATCTAACTGGAGTCATTCATCAAATTCGAAGTATCGGATTTGAAGGAGACAACGCCGCCTACCGCTTGCTTGTCGCCAGTCTGGCAGTTGCTTCGATGCCGGCTATCGAGGACAAGGAAAGCGCCGCAGCAAAGGAACTGTCATCACTGTGCACTGCGGTTACAGAGTCGATGCCTCGTAGCCTGAGTATCGAGCATTTCACATTTTCTACGGAATGCTTGGACATGCTTCTCCGTACTCATACACGCTGCATCGCGCAGTGGAACATTGACAATGTTTTGGCCGCGATTGCGGTCGCTGCCTCCAAAGCAGGCCCTCGGATCAACACAGACTACGCCGCTCCGATTTACGTCCGCCTTTGTCGGTTGATGGGTGTACTTCTGGGTCTGCATCGCCAGAAGCTTGGAGGTCGTTTCCACCTGATTCTTCCAGCCATGCAGCGGTTGCTGAACTGCCTGTATGCGCGATCTCGGAAACGGAGTCGATCCATGCGATTAGAGAAGGGATCGACCGAGCAGCCGCTCTGGCTCGCACCGTTGCAGGCATCGCATGCTGTGCATTTTACCCGCTTACTCACCTCCCTCTGCGACCCAACCGTGTCCGCCGTATCGCGACCCACCCAGTCCGGTCATGGAGGACAAGAAGGCCTGACAGATCAGACGAAGAAAGCCAAGCGGATCGCAGGTCAGTACCTTCAGTACCTGATTATGGAGTACGCGCAGAGCTCCCTACGCGGTTCCATGACGCCTGAAGTGAAAGCGGCGATTCTTCCAGGATTGTACACGGTATTGGATGTGATGTCGCGAGAGACGATGCGGGCATTGAACGCAGGATTGGACGCATCTGGACGGTCAGTGTTCAAGACCTTGTACGATGATTACATGAAGTTTGGAAAGTGGAACAAGGGGTGATACTGTATGCATACTGTACTTCCGGAGACTGTATATTTTGCATGAGATACCATTAATGCATTAGAATAGAGAATCAACTAGTATTATTAATGATTCCAAGTGCATAGGCTGATTTGATTATTGCACTACACTACACTACGGCGAAACATCCCACTCATACAGGATTCATCTATATTCAAGACCAATGTTAAGTGGGACTTAAGCTCAGCTCTTCGCACCGCGATCAGCGACATCCCAATTGCGTTCATTGGTCAACTGCAAGAAGACTCCAATCGCAAGTCGGAGAATATTAATCGTGCCCACACGAGTATCTCTGCTCTAGATCCTGCAGCGTATGTAGCTGGCTTTGCAGAATTACGCGGGCCATTTCCGACGCAGGAATCAGGGGATTTAAGTAGCGCAATGGATGACGCTTTACTGAGATCTAGCACTCCCTCTTCCTCACTCTTTTCAGAATTGGAGAGCAGAGATAAATCCGGTTTAAACCACAATATCCGATCGCGATGCTTTCGGTTTTGATAGTTACACTTATCGCACTCTGTTCCTGGTACTTCCTGCGCCCGAAACGACGCCTCCCACCCGGTCCCAGCTTCATCTCAGGTCTCATCGCAGGAAACAACGACTTTAAATCTTTCCAAAAATGGAACCAACAATATGGCCCGATCGTCAGCGCAAAGATCGGCACGCGAACCTACATCATCCTGGGCACGCGACAAGCAGCGCAAGATCTACTTGAAAAACGCGGAAATATATATAGCGATCGTCCGCCATCGGTGCTGCTGGACAACTACCTCTCCAAGCGAATGGGAGCGGCGTTCATGCCATATGGTCCTGAATGGAGGCTTAATCGCCGGTTGCATGGATCGCTGTTGAGCTCAAGAGCGGCGGATTCCTACCGGTATCTCCAGGATATTCAGAGTAGGATTTTATTACATGGGTTCTTGGAAAGTAATGAGCTGGAGAAATTCCATCAGTATACTTCTGATGTGATGTTCACGCTGGTTTATGGGAAGGGGCAAGGGAGGAATGATGATGACCATCGACGACTGGAGCATATCAATGAAATGGTTGCTTTTGTGCTGCAAGGAGCGTCGTTTGGGACAGCGATATTGGAACTCTTTCCCGTTCTGGATCGTCTTCCGCATTTCTTCATGAAGTGGAGGAAGAAGGCGGAGCAGCTCCATGAGAAGACTACAGGTGTGTATACTGAGTGCTGTAATACGGCCCTTGGGGTGGACTGTTGGAATTGGTGTCATGAAGCGATGCAGAAGCAGGACGTCGTCAATGAGCTACCCTGGGAGAATCTATGTTACGCGCTGGGAGATCTTTACGTGGCGGGTGTCCATACCAGCAAGATGGTAATGGAAATTTTTGTCCTGGCTAGTATTCTCCATCCAGATGCCGTGAAAAAAGCGCACGAAGAGCTCGACTCGGTTATTGGCTCTGAGCGCCTCCCCACATTCGAAGATATGGACCATCTCCCATACATCAATGCCTTTATCCTGGAGCTGCTTCGATGGAAACCCATCTCCCCTATTGCCGTTCCTCATGCGGTCACTCAGAACGATGAATATATGGGCTACTCCATCCCCAAGGGTGCCACTGTCATCGCAAACCAATACACCATCAATATGGACGAGAGCGTCTTTGAGAATCCGACAGCCTTCAAGCCCGAACGACATATTGGCAATCCCGATCCTCCCGTTTCAGCATTTGGCTTTGGTCGCAGACGGTGTCCAGGTGAGAAGACGGCACGATCGACTTTGTTTATCGTCATTTCTCGTATGCTATGGGGGTACGACATTACTAGCGCTGAGGCAGCGGAACGGCCAACTGAAGAGTCGAATGCGGGTTCTGTAAAGGCTGACTTCCATGTGAGAAGTGACGAGCACCAAAGGGTTATCGAGCGGGAGTTTGAATCGGCTGATAAGGATGAGAAGAGGGTTTTGAGGAGTATGCGGGAGAGTATGCAAGCTAAGATATAGATTTATGATCGCAGCATCCTACATTACATTCCTTATATGTTAATGATATTCGCAGTTAAAGACTTACGAATATACCAAGATCATGTCTAATTTAAGTTCTGCTTATTCTATTTAACTTATTCTATTTCAGTTAAGTATCACTAGTAGTGTTCCCTGCTTTTCAAGTTCACAACCAGAAAACTAAATTAAGCCAACCCAACAAGACACAGATATATTCAACAACAACCAGAGAAATAGTATTTAACAGGTGCTTCTTCAACATTCGCAGTCCAGTCTACGTTTAACAGTTGTTGGACGGGCAGGTACCGTCACCAGTGATGAACCGATACGATCCGCCCTGCAGGTCGTCAAGAGGGAAGCAGCCACTGCCCGCATTAAGACCGGGCTGGCAGCTGCTCTGGCAGCCGCACTGGTTGTTCGGGGACACAATCAGAGTAAAGGTGTTCCAGATCGGGCTACCATGGAACTTGACGGCCTTTCTGCCGGTTTGACGCAAGCAGCCCGGGTTGGTCAAAGACACGGACATTCCGCAGTTGCTGCAGTCAGCGTCGTTACAAAAGGCAGCCCAGCCCTCAGTGTCGGCATTGTTGTCGAGGGTGCTCACGGTGGAATTGAAGGAGTCGATGCTGACAACCTCTTTGGCAGAGGTAGTAGGGGCGGCGCGGATGAGGTTGGCTGCGGCCGCGAGGAGGATGGTCTTGCAAGTAAAAAGCATCCTAATAAGATATCTTTGTTAGTATCTGTTGCTATCGAAGGAAGCGAGGATGTGGAAGATGCGAAGCTTACCTTGAAGTAATCTTTCTCTTTGTGGTAGAAGAGAAGAGGGAGTTAATGAGAGAAGGATAATATGGAATGAAGAGAAAAGTGAAAGGAAGACAAGCGGAAACGAGGGGATTTGTATAGACAAGCTGGAGAGTTCTCGTTCATTGAAGCCACTGCCAGCCCTATGGGGCTGTTTGCAAACAAAGCAGATTAAAATGAAAAGTTTTTAATAGTGCGCAACCAAACAGTGAATGTTTGTTGATCTTCTAACAACCCTATGGAGCTACCCTAAGCCAAACCAAATTAAAGTGGAAGTCCCTTTGTGACGAGTCTGGGCAGTGAACTTTATACTATTCCCCCCAATCCACTACAAACGCCAGTAAAAGTCCAGGACAGTACAGCTCTGAAAGTCAGTGTCTTTGTCTCTGTATGCTACCCTCTTGTGAAACTTGAGAGTAATTTACCGTCTAATATAGGTCTAGTGGCTTAATTGGTTACTTGGCTAATTCGAGCCGCTGTACGGATCAGTTGAGCCCTTCTATGGCTGGAAATTTCCTTTGCCAAATGTGACGGCCTCGTACAATATAAATTTATTGGTAGACTTTCTATCGAAATACTAACATGGAGAAGGAAAGAAAGAAGCTGGGCCTGCCAGCGCTGTGCTATCTAGTGTGCGAAGGGGGTTCCTGCCCTATATTCAAACAGGCCAAAGTATACAAACATCTTGTGTTGTTAGTGAATGTCCGTACTCCGTGACACCTTATTCTAGATATTCTACCAGTAGATTTCATATTGAACGGAACTGTCACACACAGAACTATTTAATACTGAGAAACAACGGCAAGCTTTAAGCTCCGTGAGCTTGAGCTTCAATTGTGGGATAAAGAAGGAATACGAGAGAAACAGCTCCAAAACCAGGCAAAACAACTTCTAAATGAAGAAAAAGATTTGGGACTTATGGAACGGCGAGCAAAATTACAGCAAATAAATAATGGTTAATTCTGAAATCTAATGGTCAAGAATCTGTAAAACCCAGATGCCGGGCGATTAAAACCTGGTATTGTAAGGACCGTAAGCCGCGAAATCAGTCATGTGACTCACTAGTGCGGCACCGCCCCTCTAGAACGATGCCACCCGACCTGTAACCTGCTGCCCCGTAGAGACGAATACTCACTTTGATTGGCTGATGGCGATTACTCGATGAGATCGAGTCACAGTGAGATTGCAGATTAGATAGCGGAGATAACAACCATGTGCGATAGCAAAAATCCGGGGACGAATCGAGACGACGAAAACAACGCTGTGATAAGCTGTTCAGAAAGGCAGGAAACGGTCGTGCGCTTGGCTGTAATGGGTTCGTGCCGCGGAATGTCCTATCATGAAGGCTTGCCGGATGACGGATGACAGCTATGATGTCGTCCGGCAGGGATCTCTATATCATGGAGGGTCCTCTCGTATGTTGTTGATTTTGATTTTAAATACATTTTTTTTTATTTAGGTCGAGCTGGCTTTCTCGTCATCCTTTATTATAATTATCCACAATGCCCCGTTTAAAGATCAAGCAGCTTCTGAAGAAGCTTGAAGTCGCGAATGAGCCCGGGCTGAGCAATGGCCAGTTGATGTTAACGAATGACGACTTGCGGCCAGGTGAGTTCTTTTATTGACGATATAAGAAATGAAAAGGGCAAGAGAAGGTGACACTGCATAGTCAACCCCGAACAACGTCAATGGAAATGGCTCAACTTTGTGGCTTTCTGGGTGGCAGATTCGTTGAATATTGTGCGTTCTCCATATATATCTAGAAGAGAAGAGCTAACGGATATTGTGGATAGAACACATGGATGATCTCCTCGTCAATGATTCAAGATGGCTTGTCCTGGTGGCAGTCGTGGATCTGCGTCTGGGTTGGATACTTCATTGCAGCCTGCTTCGTCTACCTTACAGGTCGTATTGGAGCTGTGTACCATATCTCGTTTCCCGTCACGGCTCGAGCGTCCTTCGGAATCTGGGGTTCATTCTGGCCAGTGCTTAACAGAGTGGTTATGGCTGTGATTTGGTTTGGTGTGCAATCATATATCGGAGGTACGCTATTACTGATTTGACTCCGAACGTGCATACTAATATACAGACAGGCGAATGCGTGACATTGATGATTCGATCCATTTGGCCTAGCTATGGGAATTTACGCAACACCCTTCCATCGAGTGCCGGCGTCGACACGATGAATTTTGTCAGCTTCTTCCTCTTCTGGCTCTGCTCACTCCCCGCCCTCTGGTTCCCGATTCACAAGATTCGCCATCTGTTCACCGTCAAAGCGTACTATTCGCCTGCTGCAGCCCTCGCCTTCTTTGCCTGGGCTATTGCCCGTGCCAAGGGTCTGGGGCCTATCGTGCATCAGCCAAATACCGTTTACGGGAGTACGCTAGCCTGGGCAGTTGTGAAAGCATTGATGAGCTGCTTGGGGAACTTTGCGGCCTTGATCATGAACAACCCTGACTTCTCGAGATTTGCACGGAAACCTAAGGATGCTCTGTGGTCGCAGTTGCTCACCATTCCCTTGGGTTTCGCTATCACCTCGTTTATTGGAATTATAGTTTCGTCGTCTGCTTCGGTCATTTTTGGTCAGTCAATTTGGAATCCGCTCGACCTGTTGGGTATGTTCTTGGATGGGGCTAGCTCTGCGGAGCGATTCGGGATCTTTGTTATCTCAACTGGGTTTGCCCTGGCTCAGTTGGGAACCAACATTGCTGCAAACTCAGTGTCCGCTGGTACGGATATGACTGCTTTGCTTCCACGATATCTCACGATCAGACGTGGTGCATATGTCTGCGCAGCAGTTGGTCTGGCAATGTGTCCAGTATGTCTATCTTCACCCCCGCTCTCCCATGAATTGCGAAACTAACAACCTATAGTGGAACCTCGTTTCCTCATCAAACCAATTTACTACATACCTCTCCGCCTATTCTATCTTTCTTTCCTCCATTGCAGGCGTAATGCTCTGCGACTACTACATCATCCGCCGCGGCTACTTCAACATCCACGACCTCTACTCTGCCGAGAGAACAGGAATTTATTACCACTACTTCGGATTCTCTTGGCATGCCTACGCCTCCTACATTGCTGGAATTCTCATCAACATCGTCGGTTTCGCGGGAGAAGTTGGACGCGATGTACCCATTGGCGCACAATATATATACAACATCAATTATTTCTCGGGGTTCCTTGTTTCGGGTGCTGTATACTTCATCTTGGCGAATATTGTCCCTATTCCAGGGAAGAGTGAAAAGTGGTGTGAGGTGGATATTGACGAGGAAGTTACTTGGGGACGGGATGTGGGTGATGATATAGAGGGGAGGACTTCGTTGGAGTCTGGACGGAAGAGTCCTAAGATTAACTCTAAAGCATTACCATAGACTGGTGTTGCATTGTATATTAAATGGTTTTAATGATTGATGACTTCGACCTGTTTTTGTCAGTATTGCCGGAATTCTCTCATAGTGACATATCCACTTCTACACTCTAAAAACCAAACAGACAGCTAATCTAGCAAGTTAAAATAATAGTCTATAAATTGCTCGCTTTACATAGTGCTACAAGAAACATCCATATATTCGATAGAGACGGCAATTACCTATAGAGTACATATATACTTAGTCTTCATGCCAGGATATACAACCGCCAATGCAGCTGACCTAACAGTTGAAACGGGGATACCAGAATGATCCTCTCCATATAACTACCATTCTGTTTTACCACATGTACACACATTTCTTAATGTTCGAGAGTGTTGAGGCAGAATGGCATTTTCGTAGTCTTGAAGACAACAGCTTTGGAAAGCGCGTGCTACGAGACAGTACTGATATGGTTACTGGGAGATATGTCGTATTGAGAAATAGTATATTCATTCAAGATGATAGTTATGAAATCAATTTTAATAGCACGGGATATTGCAGCTGAATCAATCAGCGTCAAAATGACGGATAGAAAACCGGTCAGAGGTAGAGGATAATCTCGATCCTCTTAGAGATAACTGCCGACTGCGTCTTACCACTGCCATCTAACTTGTCAAGCTTCGATGCTGGATTTGGCAGACGTTAGTTTGATACTGAAGTTAGAAGACGACAACATACTTAGTTTTTCCATATCCATATCATGAAGCGCCTCATTGGTTATATCAAGAGACCCGTGCCCACGATAATCTAGCTAGAAGATCCTCCACACGTCTCGATCATCAAGGTGTCGATTCTCTGAAGTCTGTGGGAACAGAAGATTAGTACCGAGCTTAGATTGGGAGCTTCTAGGTCCATGGCCAGCATTAAGCTTGGTCTATCTTGAATCATATTTGATACATCCTTGTGAGTCCTTCTCACTTAGGTCCTGTTTGAATTGTAGCAGACGAAGTATTGACACGATGTTTCTTATTGAATACATGGCAATGAGATTTGGGAGCAAGACGTGTTGGAAATAGGTAAGACAGAGTTGGTGTTGCGTTAGCGTATCAAGAAATAGACAGCAAATGATCTACTGGTATCTTTTTGCTACATGACATAAATGCCCTTGTAAGGCAGTGGAATGAACTAGTAGGCCCCAGTCGATGTGACGGTCTCAAACAATATGAGTCTATTGGTAGACTATCTAGCGGAATATTAACATGGAGAAGAAAAGAAAAGAAAAAAAAAAAAAAAAAAAAAAAAAAAAAAAAAAAAAAAAAAAAAAAAAAAAAAAAAAAAAAAAAACTATATACAAACAAGTCAAAGTAGTCAAAAACCTCACGCCGCTGGTGAGCGCCCGCGCTCCGTGACCGTAGGTATCTCCTTTGATTGCCATTAATGGTAAAAAAAGTGAGTGGTGTGCCTAACAATTGACCAGAAAGGTGCCCGCGATACAAAAGTGGAACAAGTACACCGTAACCGTGTTTGGAGATTTCCTCATTGGGACCCCGAAATCGTCCGACATTATATCCTCACCAATCTGGGCTATTACCACGTTATGGTGGTTTTTTAATGGGTTAACAGCCAAAATGAATCAACAAAGCTGATCAACTGAGGCATTCGGGGTCCTCATCTCGAGCATAACAGCACAACAACATCGGGGAGCCGAAAGTGGCAAAAGCCACAGCCCCGGGTAATAACTATATAAACCTCTCCCCCCTGATACACCACAATGCCATTCCTCTCTTCATCCCTCCATCTCTCCCGAGGACTCCACTGTAAGCCGTGCAGTGCTTTATACCGCGTTTTAGCCACCCACCATACCACCGCGTCCCCACTATTCAGCTGATCGCCGCCAGATCTCAGCTCTCATCTTTTCTACATCCGACGCCACAAAATCATCACACTTGCACCAAATCGAAAGAAATGTCGTCCGGTGCTCTCCCTCAGACTCTTCGTTCCATTACGGCTACCAAAATTGGTGAGCTTTCCAAGCAGCGTGCTCTTTTTGACCAACGGAAAACCGAGATCGCCAATGCTGCTGCTGCCGCCCCGGACCTGCGAACCAAGGCCCAGGTTTTGCTGGAAGGCGTTACCAAGCTCAAGGGACACCCGAATGATGCGTTTGACAAAGAGCAGCTTGACGCTACGGAAACAGATCTCTCCACTTTGATGATTGATGATGGTTCGGAGCGGGCTGCCCATATCAATATTCGCCGTTTTCTCTTGCAGGGACAGTATGACCCTTCTGTTTCCGACTGGGCGCTACAGGATTGGATTTCGGAGCTGGAGCAGGAGATCCAGCACCTTGTTCTGAAGCATCAACACGCTTCGTTCTACAGCGGCCTGGTTACGGAGTGGTTGGCGAACCTGGATGAGACTACTTCGGAGGAGCCTGAGGCTGGTAATACTGGCCGGTCGGAAATGCATGAGCAGCGCGCGACATGGGAAGGTTATGTTTTCAACAAGACGAATGTCGACGCGGACCACATCCATAGTTATCTGGATGACCTGTTTACCAAGACTCCTCTGACACAGCAAGCGCTCAAACAGTTGCGAGAGAGCATTAGTCGCTTTGGGTGGGACCTTTCTGGACGGAAGAAATGGTTCACTGCGGATGTGCTCAAGACGGTTACTGAGGCGCTTTTGAAATCGGATCTTCTCACCAAGGATAAGACAATCATTCTGAAGGAGTTCATGCGTAATCCGGCAGTCACTCAGGAGGTTGTCGACGTGCTCAACATGCGTCTTGCAGCTCTGGACAGCTGGGACTGGCCGGCAGGCGAGGCTATCCCATTGGAGATGCGTCGACAGCTCAACGGCAAGTACCGTGTGTACATGGATGAAGACCTGCTTGACAGTATCATGTTCCAGTTCCTTGGGCTTGAATGGTCTGTGAAGTTTCGGGAAGTGTTCAGTACGTTCCGCGACAGCCAGGCTTGGTATACATTGCGTGAGCATATCTCCGAGCGCGAGAAGAACCGTCGCCGTTATTATTCCATCGATCAGACGAAAAACTATATCACCAAAAGTGTCAACGACCACCGACAAAAAACATATAAAGATCAATACTTCATGACTCAACTGCCCACTTCAATGGAATCCGGTGTTCCAGATTACGAAGGCGAAGAGAGCGTTGATTCAGCTGGGAGGGAAACGCAAAGGAATCCCTTAGAGACCAAGCACTCTCTACTTCACCTTCTGGTAACCGAATCGATTATTCAATCTACCCTCCATGGCCAGTTCACAGCCATTCGCTCCGACTTTAAGTACTTTGGACCATCGCTTCCGCATGAGACGATCCTGACCGTCTTGTCTTACTTCGGGGTTCCTGACAACTGGATTCGCTTTTTCAAGATCTTCCTCGAGATGCCTATGAAGTTTGTCCAAGATGGACCGAACGCCACAACCCGATTCCGAAAGCGCGGTGTGCCTATGAGTCATGCACTCTCAGATTTCTTCGGGGAGGTTGTTTTGTTCTGCATGGACTATACCGTGAATCGGCGCACGGATGGTGCTTTTCTCTACCGTCTACATGATGACTTTTGGTTCTGGGGAAATGAGGCTACTTGCGTCAAGGCTTGGAAGGCGATGTCGGACTTTGCCAACACGGTGGGTCTGGAATTCAACGAGGAGAAGACAGGCACGGTACAGATCACGAACGACAACAGCCAGGCACCACCAGGGACTTTCAGCAAAGAGCAGAAGACCGTTGATGCTGATACTGTTCTACCTGCCGGCGACATTCGCTGGGGCTTCCTTAAACTCGATGCGCAACAAGGCCGCTTCATTATTGACCAGGGACAAGTGGACAACCATATCGCAGAGTTGAAGCACCAGCTCTCGTCGTGCAAGAGCATCTTTGCCTGGGTACAGGCGTGGAACAGCTACTTTGCGCGATTCTTTCCCAACAACTTTGCCAAGCCCGCCGTGTGTTTCGGGCGAGACCATATCGACATGGCTATCTCGGCCCTTGGCCGCATCGAGCGCGCAGTCGTCGAATCCTTCACAGGTTCGCCTAGCGGCGTGACGGATTACCTCCGCAAAGTAATCGCAGACCGGTTCGGCGTCCATGAACTCCCGGAGGGATTCTTCTACTTCCCGGTTGAACTCGGTGGTTTGGAACTCGCCAACCCATACATTCCCCTTCTAGCCATGCGCGAGGATATCAAGCAAACGCCGCAGGGCCGTCTCCAACGAGTCTTTATCGAAGACGAAACGAAATACAATGCGGCTAAGAAGAGGTTCGAGGAATCCGGCCCTAACACCTCTGTTGTGGGCAGTATCTACGACAATAGTGACGACGAAGAGGCGAGACCCCGATCATCGTCGACCGATTTCCCCACTCTAGACGAATACAGGCGTCACCCCGAAACCTACAGCGCTCCTCTCCTCAATGCATATGAAGATCTCACTCGTATTCCCGAAGAAGCTAGCATCAAACAATCCCCGAACTTCCGAGGCACACAGTCTTCTCTGCAGCAGAAACTTGTGGACGATGACAACGTGAAGATCTCTGGAGAGTGGGATGACATGTCGGCGTACTGGCGCTGGACGGCAGAGTTGTATCATCGTGAGGTGGTCGCGAGATATGGTGGACTGGCGGCAGTGAATCGGGAGTTCATGCCGTTGGGTGTCATCAAGACGTTGAAGGAGGGGCGCATGAGGTGGGAGAATTAGATTAGAGCTACGGCTTAACTCCGTAAAGGAGCTTTGTGTTAATAGTTATGATAAAAACTGCATTGCAGTAAGAAATGGTACATAATATCTCTACATTCGACGACAGATCCAAATGTAACATGGTCATTTTGACTTGGTCACCTGAGAACCATGCCAGCAACATTCCACGTAGAGGTACCCGTATCCCTTGCTGAAACATCGGCCGTCATGTATATTTATAGCGGTGTTATGCATAAAGTAACCATACCAACCAGCTTTACAGTTCCTTACAGTCACCTCAATTAAATCCAGCCACCCACTTTAATTCTCGATTGTACAGCATTCCGAGCCAGTGAGTCGCAGCTTGGTGGAGTGAGTACTCCAGGTGCAGACAAG